AATGGATACTTACCTTGCAGGGGAGTTACTATGATCACGAAGGTGTTTTTCCCAGGGTGAGGCATATCCATTACACTGCGATGTGCTGACCCCTGCGATTTTCCCAGATGTGGGAAACTAGACTGCATAATTTGTGGTAGCAGGGAACTGCATTCTTACTYTTCCCCTCTTAAAAGAAAAAAGGGGGGAAAAAGCCATAATGGGTTACCATTACATTTGCAGCTCTCCAAAGTTCTGAGATCTCAAGAATTTTCTTTCACAAATGTAGATATTCAAAAAGGACATCACTTCATTCATTGGAGTTTTGGTGTTTTTAATGTACCTGCACTTATAATATTTATAAAGTCAACATTGTGATAATATACTTTTATAGAGTCATATTTGCAAAAAATATATAAATTAGAACTCTCTAAAATTCTTACCTAATTTATGCCTATAATATTGGAAATGATGCTAACCTGAAATACACAGCATAGCTAATTGTAAAAAGTGAAAAAAAAATTTAACATGTGCGGAAATACTACAAGGATAGATTATGGGTAATTATATAAAGGTAGTCCATAAGAGCAGTCTGACTTTCATGATCTTTATATTTTAAATTATACATTGTGCTGAATAGCTGTATTTTTTCCTTTTGGGCAAAGCCGTCCTTAGAGAATATGTTCACATTTTCTATATGATGCTTTTCTTTTTGAAATTCTTCTACAATTTCATATATGCCATGAGTACTCCCTATTTAATTTTCCAATCATTGGTTTGTTTGATGTGCTTTTATATCATATGGGTAATGCACAGATCATTCCACATGCACTTGTTCAGATCACATATTTGGTAATCAAATAGCAACACTTGCTTAAATGTCTTCTTATCCTTCTGTGCATGTACTTATTTTCAAACCAGTCAGTCAAACATCTCTAGCTTCTTTAGGCACATGTGACTTTAATTCATTAAGAGCTCCTGGAATCTCATTATCTGGAAGGAATGCCAATGCAGATAAATGATGGCACTTTTAATCCGAAGTTTCAATTGTTTCAATATGGTGTGGCAAATATCTCATCTGAATTTTCTCCCAAGTGCATTGGGCTTGGAAAAAACAAGCATTATTGATAACACTTTGAAATTCCCTCTTTGATCAAACTTAATTCCAAAACTGTCTTTACCATTTAGAGATTTCGTTGAACTCCRTTTTCTTCTCCAAAGTCTATGAAATCTTCAAATAAGAGTTTAAAAGTACTTCATTTCTTCTAGTCATTAATACATACATGGATAAGTTCTAGAACCTCCAGACCCTACAGGGGCATGAATGGCATATGTTTGATTAAACAAACAAAAACCGAATGGGGATAGCTTTGAAATTGACATCTATTAACCAAAGTGAAGCACAAACTAGTTTTTCTGTGTTAGATTTAGTGGTAAATATAAGTGGTTAGGGATTTGACTATTTTCCATGAAGTCAAACACCTAACCAGGAATAGTTCAACAACAGAGGAACCTCTGTGTCAGCAAGCATCTTTGGTTCAGAAGRTCACTAAGCCTTTCCAATTCTTTTTTCTTTCCTGAAGGGATGCATGGGGCTATGTATGAAGGGGCAGAAATAGTACACAATTAAATAACTTGGCAACTGTTCTATGGATAAATCAAAAACACACCGAAGCCCTTCCCCKGAGTTTGATTTTCTTACTCTTTTATATAGTCTTTTAGTTCTATAGCTGCTTTATTTAGTTTTTGTTTGGGGGATTTATCCAGTAGTGAGAGAGGTATGTTAAAATTACMCAGTATTATTGTGTTGTGGTTTATTTGTTTCTTGTAATTGAGAAGGGTTTGTTTGATGTACATAGATGCTCCATTGTTTGGGGCATAAATATTTACAATTTTATTTATTTATTTATTTTTAATTTTTGTTTTATCTTGACATATACATTTGAATCAGATGGGATATAATTTCTCATTTTTCTGAGTACAGGTTGCAGAATTACATTGGTCATGCAGTCACGAATATTTATAATTATTATGTCTTGTTGATGTACAATTCCCTTAAGCAGTATGAAATGTCCTTCTTTGTCCTTTTCTGATTAACTTTGGCTTGAAGTCCACTTTATCTGATATGAGGATAGAAACCCCTGCTTGTTTACAAGATCCATGTGAATGATATTTATATAGCCTTTTTTAAAAAATGGGAATTGTGATTTTTAGGATTTTAACATTTGGGGTTTTAATATTTTGGGCTTCTGATTTGGAAGACTTTGATGTTTGGGAATTTCAGCATTTGAAATTATGGCATTCATGATCTTATCCTTTGGGAACCACACTCCATTGTGTGTATGGTGTGCATGTTATCTTAGTTATTGAGCCAGTCTCCTATGCTTGGATACTTTGATAGTTTCTAGTATTCTGCCATAACAATCTTGTACTGGATAACCTGTGCATTTGTAATTTAATATCACTGGGGTTGTGTAGGTGGAGTATGAATGAAGGTTGATACATATTGCCAGGTTCCCTTAATTGGGATTATACCTTTGGATATTATACCTTTAGAATTTTTTTAACATTTTTTTTTTTTTTACATTTTCACTAGTGATAAATGGGAGTGACTATTTCTCAAAAGTACTTCTGAATTTTTGTCAATTTGATGAGTGAGAAACAGAAAAGTTTTGATTCTAATTGAATGTTTTTTGATGTGGTTAAGGGCCATGTTTATATCTTTTTATGAATTATTTGTATTTTTTGTCCACTTTTCTAAAGAATTTTGGTCATTTTTTTTCTTCAGTTTTTAAAGATTCTTCATAAATTAGGGATATTAACCAATTGTGACTTACATTATGAATATTTTATTCTAGTTTGTCATATCTTTGACTTTGAAGTGCCTTTTTATCATGTATTTTAAAATTTTTACCTAGTCAAATATATCAAACTTACCTGTCTCTGGGTTTTTTTGTTTGTTTTTTCGTTTGGTACTGGGATTGAACTCAGGGGCACTCAACCACTGAGCCACATCTCCAGCCCTATTTTGTATTTTATTTAGAGACAGGGTCTCACTGAGTTGCTTAGTGCCTTGCTGTTGCTGAGGCTGGCTTTGAACTCGTGATCCTGATGCCTCAGCCTCCCGAGCCTCTGGGATTACAAGCAGGCACCAGCTGCCTCTGATTTTTATGCTTGTTTGTTTTGGAGGTTTTGTTTTTCCCTCTAGGATCTGGGAATTGAACCCATGAGTGTTATACCACTGAGATACATCCCCAGCTGTTTTTTAAATCTTGAAACAGAGTTCACTAAGTTACCTAGGCTGGCCTCAAACTTGTGATCCTCCTGCCTCAGYCATGTGAGTAGCTCTGTTTACAGACGTATGTCACCATGCCCAGTCTACCTCTGAGGTTGAGTCATAGTTAGAAAAGTCTTTTCCTACACTGAGACAAAAGAAATTTACCATTTTTTTTTTCTAGTACTTGTTGTTAGACAGGTTTCCATGGTTATGACCTGACAAGAACAACTTTGAGGAGGAAAAACTTATTTTGGGCCCATAGAGGTTCAGTCCATGCTTGACTGACCTCACTGCTCTGGGCCAGAGGTAAGGCAGAACACCATGGTGGAGGGTATGGTAGAGAAAGCTGCTTAACTCATGGCATCCAGGTAGCAGGAAGAAAGTGAGTCAGCCAGGGACAAAGTATAATCCCACAGTGACATATTTGTTCCAACCACACCCACCTATCTACAGTTACCACCAAGTAATCCACTTAAATTATTAATCCATCAAATGAATKAATCMACTAACCAGACTACAACTCCCATAATCCAATAATTTCACCACCAGACATGCCTGCACTACCACATGAGGTTTTTCTGGGGATATCTGTATATCACTTGTATAGTTCTATTTTTTTTTTTTTACATGTTGATTTCTTATGATTGGAGCTTATTCTTTTTATTCGAGGTGGGGGATACTGGGAATTGAACTCAAGGGTACTCAACCACTGAGCCACATCCCCAGCCCTTTTTTGTATTTTATTCAGAGACAGGATCTCACTGAGTTGCTTAGTGCCTTGCTTTTGCTGAGACTGGCTTTGAACTCTYGATCCTGTTGCCTCAGTYTCACTGGGATTACAGGCATGTGCCAATGTGCCAGGCTTGGAGTTTATTCTTATATTTTGCATAAGGAATGCATCTAATTTTATATTTTTCAAAATAGGTATCCATTTGACCCAATACTGTTTATTAAAAAGATTTTTTGCCTGGTGATTTGAGATGACACTTTCATCATATTCTTGCACATAATTAGATCTGTCTCTGCACTGCTTATTCTSTTTCACCTATCTGACTCTTCATGTGCCAGTATCACACTGTTTTAATTTTAGAGGACCTTGTGCCATACCAGGCAAGAGCTCCATATGAGAATTTTAGAGTCAATACCTTAGGTCTATAAAAAAAAGCTCACTGGAATTTTTATGGGGATCACATTCATAAATTTGAGTATAATTAAGATACTTATAGCAAAAATGTATAACTAGCAATGGTTCTTCAGTGACCATAATTTATAGAGATTAGATTTTTTTATTTATTTTTTATTTTTTTTTTAAGAGAGAGTGAGAGAGGAGAGAGAGAGAGAGAGAGAATTTTTTTTTTAATATTTATTTTTTAGTTCTCGGCGGACACAACATCTTTGTTGGTATGTGGTGCTGAGGATCGAACCCGGGCAGCACGCGTGCCAGGCGAGCGAGCTACCACTTGAGCCACATCCCCAGCCCTAGATTTTTTTAAATATATAGGGCTGGGGAAGTGGCTCAGGTGGTAGCACGCTCGCCTGGCACGCGTGCAGCCCGGGTTCGATCCTCAGCACCACATACAAACAAAGATGTTGTGTCCGCCGARAACTAAAAAATAAATATTAAAATTCTCTCTCTCTCTCTCTCTCTTTAAAAAAAATATAGACTCTAAGAAACATTTTTTTCACATAATTCTAAATTATATTATAAGATTAAATATTGACTACTGTTTAATTTTTATTTTAGATTTCCATGGTATCAGTAATTCATATTCCTGATAAGACTTATAAACTTTCCTGCAGAATATTGTATCAATATTTACTTCTGGCCCAAGGTCAATTTCATGATCTGAAGGTAAGTTGTACCCTGTTGTCTTATCTCTCCCATTTTTGTTTATAGAGCTTCAAAGAATGGCTGTTTACAAAGAGATAATTATATTTTTCATTTAGTTATTATAGAAGGTAACTGTTCTTTGCTAATGGATTTGCTAGCTCATAAGTTTTGAGTAGCTCTATGACCCCCAGATTTAAAGAGTAATTGTCATTTATAGTTATTTTTACACTTGTTCCTTTGATTTTCAGCAACTTTTCATGTCTGCAAATAATAATTCAACTCCTTCCAGCAATCCCTCTGCTGAAGAAAAAAATGCAGATCGAAGTTTGTTGGAAAAAGCTGGACTGTCTGAAAGTGAAGTGGAGCTGTCTGAAGAGAACAGCAAGGACTGTGTGGTTTGCCAGAATGGAAGTGTGAACTGGGTGCTCTTGCCCTGYAGGCACACGTGCCTGTGTGACGGCTGTGTCAAGTATTTTCAGCAGTGCCCAATGTGCAGGCAGTTTGTGCAGGAATCTTTTGCACTTTGCAGTCAGAAAGAGCAAGATAAAGACAAACTGAAAACTCTTTGAAGATGTTGTTACAACTGTAAAAGTACACTTTCTACCTAAGATGCAGAAATTTGGGTTCTTAGAATTAATCGTAACATGKAATCTACAGTATTGACCATAAAAGAAAAGTCTATTTTAACTTCTTATTTGTACAGTACATGGATGATGAAAATTAATTATTCCTTCCTATTCAGTATGGTAAACGTTGGAATATGATCTATGATAATACATAAAAATTCATTTAACTCTTGAGAAGAATATAAACATTTGGCCTTTTATCTACTAGAATATTTCATATATTGTTGATTAGAAAAATCATCCTGGAAAGCAGCTTATCCAAAATTTTAGATGGTAAAAGTCTCAGGATTGCTAACTGTTTTCCCTTTGACGTAATCTGGAGTGATATTAGGAAAAATTAGGAGTTAGAAAGGGCTTCTCATTTTAAATCCTTCCTTGAAATATGCTTTTATAAATGTCCATCTATTTGGTTTCTAATTTCTCTTATCATCATAGTTACCAAATACAAGTCTTAATTTTTTAATATAGGTTCTTAAACCATAAATGCAAAATATAGTCATTGAGTGTTCTCAGTGTATCATAGATTAAAATGATACTCATCTAAAGGAGAAAGATACATAAAACCTGGGTAATAAAGCTTCTGGGATAATTAAATTTATTAGCTCATTTGTCAAATGTGATTAGAAYAGTAGAATATGCTGTACCAGGAAAGCTTTGTGAGACTCTCAATGCCTTACCTTAGATTTCCTCCTGCATGGCAAATCTATCCCAAACTGGAGAGGTTTTAGAGCTAGAAAAATCAGTAAAAGAACAAATAACTGGTTTTTTTTTTCCAGGGTATTTTTATTCCAAATAAACCCAGTATCCCTCTGAATAATAAATTATTTTGTTTATCCCTTGTTTTATCCTTAAGAAAGTCAAGGAACTGATAAGCCAAAAAGCCCCTTCCCCAGTTCTCCTCAAAATGGCTAAGAAAAACAAGGGAAATAAGAGATACCTAAGTCCTTAGTGAAAATTACCTTCAARTAATTACCTTCTACACCAAGGCGAGTAGACCCATGGCAAGTGAACTATGACATTCAGGGAAATTTTCAAGTCTTTTTTGTCCTATTTATATTAAAAATAATGCCTTACCTTTTATATCAGTGTTTTTAAATATCATTTCATTCCAATCAGATATTGATAACACTCTCAAGAAGATCTTGTTCTCTGTTTTATAAGCCAAATCAAATTTTCATCTGCATTCAATAGCTATGTGATAAATACCTTTTAGGGTCTGGGGTACAAAGGATCAGGCAAGGCTCTTGACCTTAAAATATTTGTGCCTAAAAAAGAGTATTGATGGATAGAAACACATCCATCCCCACCCTTGGAAATTTCTAAGGCTCTTTGCAACTCTGCCAGTGGAAGCAGCCAGCCCAAACTRTAGTCTCTATTGCACTTGGCCCACAAGTTAACAGTGAATCCTGAAAACTCACTTTGGAAATTGGGGGTTACTCAGATCATTTTCTCTATCCTGGCTTGTACCTAAACTGTCCTAGATACATAGTTGCTTTCTCAAGGGTTACCCTGAATCTTACTCCATTTTTTATACTAAAATATACATGACATAAAATTTACCATTTTAACCATTTTTAAGGGTAAAACTCAGTGACATTAAGTAYAGTCACACTATTGTGCAACCATCACCACAATGTATTTCTAAAACTTTATCATACCAACTGAAACTTGGAACTTGTTAAACCCTAACCCCCCTTCTGCCTTCCCCCTAGCATGTGCTAAACACCATCCTCCTTTCCATGAATTTTTTTCTAAGACCTCATGTAAGTAGAATTATATAATATTTGTCCTTTCCTGACTGGCTTATTTTACTTAGCATAACGTTTCCAGGGTTTATCCATGTTGTACCTTGCATCAGAATTTCACTCCTTTTAAGGAGCCTTTTAATATAACTCTCATATTTTATTCCACATTTTGATATCCATTTATCCATTATTTTTCTTAACTCTTAAAGGTGATTTTCCTTCTGCTCCTTTTGCAGCTAAAGTTATTGTTTTTCCTGCCCTTTGTTGCACTTAATATGAAGAATTTGATAGGCATCAAGTAAAAACAAGGATAGATGGCYCCRCAACTTGCAATGATTCCACTTAATGATTTTGAATTTGACAGTGCTGCAAAAGTGATGAACATTTAGTAGATTGTACTTGAAGATTTAGATTTTTTCTTCTCCTAGKCTAATGATACACAAAATGATACTCTCCTCTAATCCTGAGCATCTGCAAGAAGCCACAGCTTCCAGTCAGCCACACCATCTGAAGGTAAACAACTGATAGTCTGCTGTATGCTGTGTTGCTAAATTAAGATGCTCARTAGTGTAGATGTATGCAATGCATTTTTTTATTTACAATATTTTCAACTCACTTATGTTTATCAGGATAAAACCCTTTCATAAGGAGCATCTGTACCACTGACTTCTAGAGATTTACATCTGAATTTGCCAGTAACAGTGAATAGTGACATTGTGTGAGACAATCTGGAAAAGCATTTTATTTGAATRGATTATTAGAAATATAAAATGTTTAGTTTACATAGGCTAGTTGCTACAAAAATCTCAACCAGGGCTGTATTTCAGCAGACTTGACAAGTGACTGGCCCACTTCCTCCCTCAGCGACTCTTTCTTTCTTCCCAACTTGGTGCCTGCTGAGAATTCTTAATGTCTAAACCAGATCCAAGGAAGGAACTTAAAAACTGTTACCTGAGGACTTGACACAAGTCATTGAATTATCTCCAATGGGGTTCTCCTACTTTTTAAGCCTTACCATTAGTTATGGAATGAAGGGTTTTTCTTGGCTCATGGGAATTTGAGGAATCAACATAAGATTTGGGAAAAGTAGGTGGAAGTGACGTCAGCCTCCTGTACTCATAGTAACTCAGTCCTGCCTCAGCTGATCCCTATCCCTCTGSATAATTCCCCAGCTCCATTTCCTAGATCTTGAACACTGACCACCCCCTGCCACAACTGTATCTCTATTTTTCCATGTATGTATGCACACCTGCTATAATATATTCTTCTAAATCTTTTCTTCCTTGTCACCATGACTTCTATTTCCCAGGTCCTGAGTATTCTAAAGATGCATTAACTTGCTTCTGGGTTCCCTGTTCAACTATTTCAAATGGTTTTCAGCTTTTCTTGACTTCTCCACCCCACCTGCCTTACCAACCCACAAACTGGTTTAACTGTGTTATATTAAAACAAAACTCAAGTGACTTTACCAATTAGTAGAATTCACTACAAAGCCAAGCTATTTAGTTGCATCCAGATCTCCAGCCCTGCTCAACAAGTCCTTTTATTTATATATTATTATTTGTCCCAGTGGACCTCCTACCAAACTCTCAGTTTTTCCAAACCTCTTCTACTCTTCTCAACTTATTCCACCACTGCTGTATCAGTCTCCGTGAAAAACTTCAAGAGGTAGTATGGTGTGAGGTGATGATGGGCCCAAATTGCTTGTCACCTTGGACAAATTAATTAATCTCACTCTACTTCAGTTTCCTCATCTGGAAGATGGTGATAATAGAACCTACCTACAGGCTATTGAGAGGCTTGTGTCAGTTAATATGTCAGTTAAATGCTTAGGCTGGTATAGCACAGAGTAAGCCCTATGTGTGATAGGTTTTACTGTCTTTACTTCAAAGCCAGTAGACATTCTTTTCTTTATTCCCCAAGAGAAGAGCATACTCTGCCTCCTTTTGAGGCTCTACTTGTGTTCTTGCTTCCTGAACTCTGTGYATTCAATAATTACATGATTATTGAATGTCAAAGATATCCCTTGTTTGGGCATTTCTGATATAGCTGTGAATAAAACAAGTGAAAACACTTCCCTGTGGGGTCCACATTCTAGTAGACAGATCACTTAGTAAAAGATACTGTGTAYCAAGTGAAGATAACTGCTATGGAGAAAACCACAGCTGGGATGGATGTGTTGGGCCTGTGGAAGATGGAGGTGAGGTAGTGTTTCAAATATGGGGAAAGCCTCCTTAGGAATAAAGAGCTGAAGGAGGCCAGGAAGTAAGCCATGGGTTTATCTTCATAAGAGATCTTCATCTTAATCTTGACCCTTACTAGGCCAAGGGTTGCAATATACTGAAATGGAGACAATTAGAAAAACATAGGTTTAGAGGAAAAGAGGAATTTTGTTTTTATTCAGTTTTAAATGACAATTGGAAATCCAAGTAGAGATGCCATGTAAGCAGATGAATATACAATGGAGTTCAGAGGAGAGGTCCAGCTGATATAAAATTGGGAGTCATCAGCATGGTATTTAAAGCCAGAAGACTGTATAGGAGTTAGCATAGGAAGAGAAGCACTCCATGGACTGATATTTTGAATATTCTAATACTCAGGGGAATTAAAGAGGACCCAATAGACTGAGAAGGAATCAACAAAGCAGAAAACCATAAGAATGGTCTTTACGATGATCTATTAGTACTTAGATGACCACCATTTTATTATGTTCACAGTTTCTGTAGTCAGGTAAAAGAACAGGGTATGATGTAGGTAGCCTTGCCTRGGACTTAGTTGGGGAGACCTGAATGAAGTGACTTAAAGGCTGGAGGGCTAGAATCATCTGAAGGCTTCTTCACTCAGGTATTTGGACCTTGGGCTATGATGACTCAGACAGTGTCTGAGTAAACACAGTTGCTCAAAAGGAGGTAAAACACCCCTGGGTTAAATTTTCTGTATGAAAACAAAGACCCTGTGACCATTAAATTATCTCCAATTCCCCCATCCCTTCCTGGCCACACATTTTCCATTTGATTTGTTCTTTGACATATCCTGGTGGCCTCAGAGAAGTCAAACTTCCTAAASGAGGGATCTAGAGCTCCAAGAGCAAGTGTTTGCAATGACCTTGGCAAAAGCTGCATGGCCTTTTTTTTTTTTTTTTAAAGCAACAGAGTTTATATACCATACAATCCCCCCACATTCAAAATGTACCATTAAATAGTTTTAATATATTCCCAAAGCTGTACTACCATCTCTGAAGTCAATTTTAGAATATTACTGAAATTGGAATTTTAGTAATTAAGTTTGGGATATTACTACTCCAAAAAAGAAACCCAGTAGCCAGGTGTGGTAGTGCACACCTGTAATCCCAGTGACTTGTTCCTGAGCAACTTAGTAAGACTCTGTCTCAAAATTAAAAATAAAAGGAGCTCGAGATGTAGCTCAGTGGTAAAACACCCCTGGGTTAAATCTTCTGTACGAAAACAAAATCCCTGTGACCATTAAATTACCTCCAATTCCCCCATCCCTTCCTGGCCACAGGCAAGCACTAGTCTACTTTCTGCCTTTATAGATTACMCTGTTCATTTCATGGAAAGGAATCACATGGGTCATAAGTAAAATCACACAATTTGTGGTCTTTTACAATTGGTTTCTTATAATGTTTTCAAAGTTCATTCATATTATCACATAAATCAATACTTCATTCCTTTTTATTGCCAAATTCTATTTCATTGTATATATATATATATATATATATATATGCCACATTGAATTTATTCACCAAATTGCTCATTGCTGAGTATAGAAATACAACTGATTTTATATGGATATTTTGCGCTTCAAATTTGCTAAACTTGTTTGCTAGTTCTAATAGTTTTTTAGTGGATTGCTTATACCTTTCTGTATGCAAGATCATGTCATATGCAAAAAGAGCTTCTTTTACTTGTTCCTTTCTAATGTGGATGCATTTCATTTTCCTGCTTAATTTTCCTGGATAGAATTTCCCTGGAAATTAAATAGAAGAGGACAGAATGGACATCCTTGTGTTGCACCTAGTCAGTCTTAGGATGCTTTCTCTTTCATAACCTAGTCTTGGAAGTCACATAGCACCATTTTCAATGTGTCCTATTGGTCAAAGCAGTCACAAGACCATCCAGATTCAAGGGAAGCAGACAGATTCCATCTCTTGATGGAAGGAATAGTAAAGAATTTTCAATTATAGTTAAGCCACCACCGATAAGTTTCCTAGACACCAAGTGAAAATTTAATTTCATAGAGGAGAGAGTGATCTATGTTGAATGATATTGTTTTTGTGAGGCCTAAGAATTGACCATTGGATTTGGCAATGCAGACGTGATTTGTGGTCTGGTTAGAAACAATTTTGGTGGTGTGTGTAGCAAAAACTTGTTTGGGATGAACTCAGGAGAGTTTTGGAGGAGGGGAATTGGAGGCAGCAAATAGAAATGATTCTTTCGAGGGTTTTGTTATAAAGGAGAGTAGGAAAATTGTGTGGTAACCTTAGGGAGATACTGAGTTCATCAGAATTTAATTTTAAGGTGGGAGCAAATGGCAGTATGTTTAAATGCCCGTGAGAATGCTTCAGTGGAAAGGGGAAAAACTGAGGATGCTGGGGATAATAGGAACAATTGCTGGAATGGTGTCTGTGAGAAACAAAAGAATAACATGTACTTCTGTTCTCTTCCATCTTCAACCTAACTTGTTTCCTTTAGCTTCAAATTATGCTAGATAACACTACTACTAAGGAAAACTCCTTCCTCAACCCTGTTTCTCATTCAATCCTGAAATTTCTATACAGTGCCCATCTTTTTTATATTTCCCTTAGCTCAGATATTTTGAGAAAGAAGTCTACACCAATAATTTCTCAGTGCTGATGCTTACCTGAATCACCAATCAGATCCTTGACATATTGAGACAGAAGTTCCCTAGGTAATTCTAATACAATGTTAAGTCTGGGAGCCTCTGAAGCCTATACTGTAGTCATTTTTGTTTTCTTGTCTCTCATTCATTATTAATTCTATCTCTTCTTTTAGATTCCCATTGTTCTACTTGAGCTGAATTCCCATGGATGCCCACTGAGCTCTGATTTACCCCAGTCAATGATATTTTCTTGCCTCATTTATCATGGTCCCCTGAAGGATTTCATACCTAACTTTTCCCTTGGCTTCTGAGTCACCATGTTCCATTACATTTTAATGGTGTTTAACAATTGTTTTGGGGAAAAATTGTTTTTTTGGAGGACAGGGAAAAATGCAAGCCCCCAGTCTCATTCCTCTTAAATTCTGATTCAATAGATCTGGAATCTGGCCCATKAATTTTTATTCTAATAAGCCCTTAGATGTTTCTAATGCAGGCAGCCCACAGACTTCACAGTCATGGATTTCTTCTCTTTCTTTCTCTCTAAGAGTTTCACACATCACTCATTGGTCCCATGTCTTGTTGTTAAGCACTATTCAGGTGGTGCACCTGGCAGTCAAGTAGTACCTATTTGAGAGCTTACTGCCCGTGTTCTCACTGTTGCGTTCAACTTTACTTGTAGGCCSATTCTTCTTCCATCCAGTTATCTACTTCTGATCTTTCTGCTGAATTTCAAACTTTCTTAGTGGCTAATAGATAGTTCTACTCATATCTCCCTTATGTTCTTCCAACATATCCAAAGTAGAACATATTTTTCTATAAAAATCTCTCTCCCATTTTCCCCTCCTTAGCTAGTGAMATTGCTGTCTTCCCAACTATCTAAAAACCACAGAATTATATTCCACTCCTTCTGGTCCTTCACCCCTCATCCTACACTTGCTCAGTTAATAAATCTTGATTTCACTTTATGTTACTAATGTCTGTGCCTGTCTCCTTTCTTTCCTTCTACACCTACCTCACTTTTGGCTCCTAGTTCTGCCTAGCCAACACCTAATTGTGTCTCTCAGGTATAGATTTTTTGTTTGTTTCTTGTCTCTTTACAAATATGAAGTAGTGCATTTTTCATACRTTTTCATAACAGACCATGCTTAAGCCCTCTTAACACTTAGCACATTATGTGTTAAATGCTTATTTACTTCTTTGTGTCTCTCAGTAGACTAAGAAACTGCTCAGGAGAGGTACTGACTTATTTGTGCATTCCCATTGATTTGCACAGAAGTTACCATTTAACAAATATTTGTTGAGTGAATAAATAAATCTTAAAAGAATTGAGGAATCTGCAGTCATTTTAAACAGAACAAAACCATATTCGTAGTTTAGAAATATCAGGATTGGAGGTGGCTTGCAGGGTAGCAGTCTGC